AAGTGTTTCTAAACCCCTTGACTTTTCATGGAAATATGGTGATCCTTTCCTGAAACAGACTACAGAGGTCCCTAAAAGCTATGCTGAAATGTACAACCTGGGTAATTATGTAACGCCAGAATCCCTATTCTCTGTAAATTGGTTTTAAAGTGTGAACCTCCTTCTTTCTACACCACCTGTATTATTCAACATGCCATACCTGTGTTTCCGTTTCTTCGTGCATTTTGAGTACAACTATCCTAGAGGGGGGATGCTGTCCAACATTGACTTTCTTCTAAACATACATGAGTCAGTCCCACCAGACCTGCTAGCTCCTTGCTTCTTTTGCCAAGGAACTCTGGTGAAAACAATCCTTTCTATTTCAGCCATACACCTTTGAGTGTAACTGAATGATCCCTGCACATGGCTCTGGACTGTAGTTCATTATAATGTCCTTAAGGATTTCTTTTCACCAAATCTCGCTATTACATTCATCGTTTCCCACATGTGCCCATCAGGAACAGAAATCCCCGGGGACACAAACTAATCCACTCACCAGTCCTGGGCACTGGGGATGCAGCCGACTCCAAAGACCAAAGATTATGACATTATGGAAGTGGCTCTTTAGTAGATGAAGACTGCTTATGAAAAGAAAAAAATGCTCATAAAGTGGGAAGCAGGTGTTCGGGATTTACTACACTGTGGGCAGGAGTAAGTAGAAAACCACCCGAGTCAGCACAAATCCAGAGGGAGAGAGGGAGATTTAGAAGAGATCGACCAAGGGGACCAGGGCCTTGAGAAAATCTTGACACAGGGCAAGCTTTGGGAAGAGGGCGCAACAGCCTTCTGCTGAGAAGTGTGCTGTGAGACAAGGAGAAATGCCCTGTCCTGGTGTGCTGGGCAGAGGGGCGGATGTCCAGGCACAAGACTGAACACCCTAGATCTGGACCAACATCATCAATAAAACACACTTGGGATTTCTGAGCTTGTCATTTGAGGGACATTGTGGAAGAGAATTTCACCAGGATCAGATCTCAAAAACTGGGCATGTGGTGAATTACATCAAGTCAGATTCTAAATTCATTGGTATCACGGTTCAGAATCCTTGAGGGAGTGAAGTGTGTCTGCTGCAGAGTCTCGAAATGTTCCTTGCAATATTTAGAGAGGAATTATGGAATTTAAGATGTAAAAACAATGACCACAGAGAGAATAGAAAAAGAAGACATAATTTAGTTTATAAACTGGGAGGTGGGGCACAGAGTTCTAGGAAACTGGACAAATTTGAGAAGAAAGACCAGAGACATCTACATAGGATGGGTTACCAACATTAGGGGGACAAGAGCTTCATGTTTGTGTAGGATGGTTCCTTTACCATCTGTCACACTGTTAAAACACATTGTGACTGACATGAATTCAAGGCAATAGGGATTAAAGGTCATGTGATTTTTGTAGGTCTAAAATAACAGGATAAACAGGATCCAAAGAACAAGTTGCCGCAAAAATCTCTGAGAGTGACTACTGTTTAATTTCCCCTTGATTGACTTAGAAAGCTCTTTCTAAGATGGGATCCCCTGGGTGTATATTGCCAGGGAATATATGTTGCCAGGATTCAAAAGAAAAACCTGCTAATGTTGGGGTGAAACAGGCAGAGTTGGAGGGAGTGAGAAAGGTGGATGAGGGTGTTAGCTGTGATCACAACCCTGCTCAGAATTATCCTAATCAGAGAGGTAAGAGAACAAATTCTAAGACATTCTGCGGCATGAAAACCTTCCCTCCCATAGACTTCACAATGGAACACTGGATAGACCGATATACAGAGGAGTCTGTGAAACAAAGAGAAAATATGATACTGGGACCAAAACAAAAGAGAAAAGACCACAGTGAATCAACAGCATTGGTCTTTGTGAGCAGGAAGACAAGAGTCAGAGAAAAGACAGAGGCTGAAGATCACTTTCAATCCCACTCCCCTCAAAGGTCAGGTAACAAAGACACAAATGCTGAGGCTGTGTGTCCCGGGAGCAGCTGGGACTCAGTCAGGTCACTGGGTGATCTCACTCAGATGGAGTGGGACATGATCCAACTACCATTTCTATAGTCAGAACAAAATATAACTGAGAATTTATCTGATGAAACACTAGAAAATGATTATGAATAAAAATTTGAGGAAAACAAACAAACAAAAAGTGTTCCTTGCCTGTTCCAGTGTCCTTGAAAATAACCGGAGGTACAAAGAATGGAAGTTTGTTTTTTCCTTTCAAATTTGTAAAAATCATAAGAACTGCAGTCACGCATGCATGCTTACCTGGAGGAACAACTGAGTCAATGGGTAAATGACATGTTAAAGAAAAGATTGTAATAAAAGCTTTGGAAAATAGGCCAATGACAATGAAGTGCTGAAGTGCCTTCCTCACTAGAGGTAGTTGGGCATCGGCATGAAAGTTCCTCTTAGTGGAAAGGATGACAGAGCCTGGTCTGGGGAGGAGACATGTATTTGTGCTGATCTGTTCCTGCCCTCAGGGATTGGAGACTTTCCTAAGGTCTCTTAGGGAATCACTGTAATCTTGTTATACTGAACAGCAGCATCTTTAGTTTGACAAAGTATGATTAAACATATCCCCTCAATGCTAAAGAAACAACATTCTATTTGCGGAAATGTATCTTGGACTTATCCCATTCTGCAACTCAGGATATAAAAGAAAACAAGTATCACTGTCCTTGAAACATCTCAACTGCACTATAATTTCTCACTTACCCTAAAGGTCAAGTGTCAGGATCAACTTAAGCTTCTCTTAAAACCAATCTCAAATAAACACAATGAATGTCCAGAAAAGCTCCTCCCTGCCAACCAGGATATCCGAACAAAACGTCTATGTAACCAGGTCTTGGATTAACAACCATTGGTTCATTATGGGTCAGGACACCAGAGGGATCCTATAAAAAGAGGCACACATTCAACTTTTCTCCACCAGCTGACACACAGCACGCACAGCTTCTCCAACAGCACAACTTGAAGAACAAGCACAATGAAGATTCTCTTCCTGACTCTTGTACTTGGTGTGCTTTGCACCGCCCAAGAAACTTCAGATGTGGACATTGTATCAAAGGTACCTGGGATGGCCTCATCTGGGAGGAGGTTGTATACCTGTAAGTGTGTGTGTGTGTGTGTGTGTGTACTTTTGGATTGTGATTATGTGTTTCGATGTTTCTGTGAACGTCACCTGGGCAGCTAGCTCCAACTCAGAGCTCCTCCTCTAAATGGCACCCGCACCTCTATACTGCCTCCGTCTTCTCCCCATCACCTATTTTTGGGCTCTCCTGCATCTTTACTGCTCTTGTACAAGTGAAGGGGGGTCACCCCAAAACGGGTCCCACTTGAAATCTTTCATTTCATGGAGGGTAAACGATCTCTGAATAACCTAAACTCCATGATTTCCCTTTGACTTGGGTTTTCACATTCTTTTATGAACCCTGCTTCGTCCATGCAAAGTACGTAGTAATCCGTGCTGATGTGCAGAAGTGAAGGGACAGTCATGATGGATGATGCTGGACACAATGAAAAGATACGAACTACATTTACTAAGGAATTTTGCTTTCAGAATTCAGTATGGAAACCAATTTACATCTCAGCCAGTGACACAGAGGCCAGTAAGTGCCCATGTAAAACTTTCATTTGTGAGGTTGAAATAGACGATGAAGCAGGCACAATCACCTTCACGATTTTTGAGAGGTAAGTAAAAATAACACAAAGGGAAAACTCACATAAATCCCCAACCCTGAGAAAAGGTCTGGCCTCCACACTTGCTGAGAAATACCTGGGTTAGGTGGAACACTGCAGCTCCTGGGGCTGTGAGCATTAGAGGTGTCTCTGGAATTTCTCAGTCAGGTCCAGGATCGGCCTCTAGAGAACATCCTGGAGCCTTTCCTTAGAGGGAAGGTCACAGATGCTCCACTGGAGTCAAATCTTAAAGGGAAGAAGCACCAATGTACCAGGAAATAGAGGGCCCTGTCTTCCATCCCTTCAGTCCATAGGGCCTTGAGTCCACGTCCAACTTGTAGGACATGCTTACCCCTGAGCCCCAGAGGATGTGGGCACGTGGAGGACAAAGTGGCCTCGACTGTGAAGGGCTCACTCTCAGCTATTTACAATCATCACTAAACATATTAAGGTCACCACAGCTCCCAGTGCTGCTCAGGGAATGTTCTCCACGTGGCAGGGGTTTTACTAGGAGCATGCAAACTCAGAGAGATATTTTGAAGAATAAAAGTATTAAGAAGTCAACTAAGAGCTTTAACTTTTGAGAGACTGTTTTAAAGATAAACAAATATATATACCTGACTGTATATTATATATTTGATAGCTTACATATAACGAAATTATACCCACACACACGTATATACCCTATCCCAGTAAACATACCTGTCAGCTGTCACACAGTTTGACCATATTAATTTACTGTTTATTATTTCCGTAACTTTGAATAGTCTATATTTAACTGACTGTTGATGAAGTCACACTTTTTGACACGCATACATATGATTTTCAATGTTTAATTCTCTCACAGAGCTTTGATAGAAGAGTTTGTGTTTTGGATATACTTAAACACGTTTGCCTTTTTTGTTGTTGTTTTTTCATTATATTCTCTAAAAATTATTGGCCAGAGTTGTGACACAGCTAATATGTGTGTTGATAGTTATCAGTTTCAAGAAAAGCCTTTTTACTTTTCTTTCTCCAAATTCTAGATTTATTTATGTTCTTTAGGCTTTAAACACGATCTCTTTGGTTTCTAAAGTTTATCTTGTGAACTACTGCTCAGATTTTATGTGTAACCAGGCATTCAGGCCACTGGACAGTTACTTGATCTTAGACGACTTATTTCTTCTCTTTTGAATGTGACCTTGTTTACGGGCACAAAGGTGATAAGTGACATAGGGACTTGGGAGGGTTAAACAAAGAAAATCCTAATTAAATGTTAAACTGTTCATTATTTTTACACACCAGTTTGAATATGTTTTGCCTTCAAGGTTCAATGGAAAAAGCACACAAACAATTATCAAGGAAACAAAGCAAGAAGACGGTGTTTATCCTGTAGGAGGTAAGTATGACAGTTTTATGTGAAAAAGCATATTAGGGTTGGAATCTTGGCCACAAATTCTTTCAAGAACTGCATATTTTATAATTTCAGCTCTACCACAGAGAAGAGGTGTGACCAGACAGGCACTAGGCCCTAAACTTTCAAGGCACTATATTTTGTCATGAGCAAAGGCTTAAATCACAAGACTTGGAAGGCCCTTCTCAATCTTGAGTGTAGTCAATGATAGACTAACCACATATACATATAACTGTTATTTCAAGAGGTTCTCAGGTGCATGAAACTATTTCTATATTCTTTAAAACCACTCTAGGAACTACTGTCTCAAGAGTCTATCTTGAGTTTACATATCAAACTCATTCAGCAAAATACACTTTTTGAAAACAACCTCACAACATCTTAATCCATTCCTATATAGCCAAGAACTTTACAGCCACGAAGTAGTCGTTTTAAACACCAAGCATATTGCTTCATAAACACAGTTTGTGTTCAAAGCAATGGGGTTGGTGGTTAAGATTTAACTCTCTAAGTTCTTTCTAATGGCCCTAAACAGCATTCCTAAATTTAAATGGTCTATGGGGTACATAATTGGTGAACACTTAAATATATCAATATGAGGTCCCAACCCTTGTATAATTGAAAAAATAGCACAGGGGTTGTTCAATGAACACAAATACATAAAATGTATGCTGGAAAGACTTCCTTATATTTTCATAAATAACTTTTTATATCAGGAGATTTAAATGGGTGTTTTTATTTTTTATCCCCCTATTATCATTCTCCTTTGGCTGAATCATTCCTGCCTTTACGACTCTTCCTTTAAATGTCTCCATTTTGGGGAATCTTTTCTACCTGGATGTTGACAGGGCAACTTAAGAAGGGAGAGAAAGGAACAGCTGGCCTGTTCTAAAGTCTTTGGGAACTAGAGGTTGCAGCCTCCCAGCGTGGTTCTGGGGACACGATGTGCAGGCACGGCCAGCACAGCACCAGCGGCGCCTTGATCACAGCAGGGGTCCAAGGAGATACACTCTGTCTCCTTCACCTTGAAAACATGTACATCCCATTGTGAGATTGTGTGCAAACTCTCCTCTGTAAAACGATGGGCATCACCTAGGTGGGGACTGAGAATCTGAAGAGATGCATAAAACCTTATTTAAATGCTCCCAGTGGAACCGAGGTTCATGGCCTTGGAGTGGCCTTGGGCAAGACACAAAGACTCAGTTGAAACTCTGAAGCTGTGCTGGCTCTTACTTAGTCATTGCTCTGGCAGTCACATGATGTTTCAGTGTTCCAGAGAGTGGGTGATGCTATTTTTGTGTTTTGGGTACACAGCTGGGCAGTTTTATATCAGATCTGGATGAGTGATTCCAATAAGGTGTCAGGAGGGCTAGAAGTGAGAATGGATTTAGAGGTAACACAGAGTAGATCAGTGCTTCTTCATCTGAAGAGAAAGTGGCAGGCGGATGGACAGAGCCAGAGAGGTGAGGTGCACCCCTCCACGGGGGGTGACTTTACTGTGAGGTGGCCACTTCCTCTATATACTGGCAAGTAAACCTGTCCTAACACTGACCTACACAAGTGTCCTCTGCACATCTGTGATGTCACACAGTGAAGAGTGCAGGGCAGAAGAAATGCAGTCATTCTTACACAGTGTGCAGAAGGTGCTTGCTACAGGGCAGCACTCAACAACCAGTGATGAATAGTCAGCTGCTTTTGGTCACAAAGAGAAATCAATTCCATTCCTGGGATAAAAAAGTATATATACAGATTTCTTGAACTTGCACATGGTAATATGCACATGTGGTTAAAAAATAAACAAACATGTTAACTGCGGTAGAAAACATGTTCTAGGAAACATGCTAGTAATTCTGCAAGGTGTGACAGGTGAACTGTATGAGAGGGTAGTGATAAGGAGGGTCTTCCCCACTTTCCGTGCCATTGTAACCAAGTGTAGTGTCACCGCACTGATGGAGTGACACACGGACCACCACAGGCATGACTGTGGGTAGTAATCCACTAAATGTGTCATGATGATACTAACGCACAACCAATAAAAACGTGTAACTATACATGTCTTTTCTTGTTCCCTCACAGATGACTGTATAAAAGAATTGCAAACTATTCAACTATCTGACAATGTCCTGATAGTAATTATTGTCAAGGTGGATGCAGCAGGCAACGAGACCAAAGTGCTCGAAGTGCTTGGTATGTACCACATCCTAACATCCCCATGGTCAGGGTCTGTTAACACTTCCACTGTCAGCATTTTTATTCAGAAAGTCACCAGGTGTGCATATGACTCATTGCCCATTGACAAGGCCTAGGTCATTGTGTTCATCAAGATCCAGAAATGTGATCTACAATGAAACAAAGGTAAAAAGAGAAGCTGGTAGCAGAGGGAAGTAACAGGTCATCTGACGTTTCAAAATAAGTACCATGTGTTAAAATTGAAGAATTTTGAAAATTCACTTGTTTTAAAAATAGTATCTGAAATTGCCAACTAATTTTAAGGCATGGCTATGATCTGATCGACCTCAGTCACTTCATTTTATGCTACTTCCCAATGCATTCTAAGGCCTGGAACTGAAGTTCATAAAATAATTCTTCATCCTGTTCAATTTCTCTCATGCCATGTTCTGAAGAACGCAGACATCAGCACAGATGACCACACAGACTCACTGATAGGTGTGCTGTAGTCCCTGTGACAACAGGTGACTATTTCAAAAATGCACTATGGAGAACTGTGGTTTGATTAAAGAATAAATCATCTCCCATGACTATGTGTAACATGGTCAAAGTGTCTAAGGGAGGTGAGAACACGTTTCCAGAATATTTTCTCCAGAATGAGGCTTGAATGTCAGATAGAGTTTCCAAGAAGCTGATAAATCAGCAGATAATTTACATATTTGTGATGAATCAGAAGTTAGACTCACAGAGGTCCTCAGGAGTCTTTGCAGCCTAGGTGCTGATGCTGGAGAGAATGTTGTTAGAGTCAGACAAGGTTTCATTCTGCAGACGTCTGTGTCAATTTGAGACTCTGTTAAACTTGCATGAAGTAAAGATATGATTTGCACGTACAATTTCATATACTGTGTTCAGAAATTTTCAAGGATTCTAATGGTCACAATTCTGCTTTATGTATTATGATTTTCAGCCAAAGTATGTGATACAACAGACAAAGTCTTACAGAAGATCAAGGAGCTGCTGAAGGAGAAGGGGATTTCAGAAAACAATCTTCAGAAAGTCCTCTGCCTTGGTAATAAAACTACACTTTATCCTGAATACATCATTCAAGTGGGATATAAATAGGCTGTCTGGAAACAACTTGATTTGTTTAAATTTCCTTCCGTAAAGAATCTTCTATAAAATCCATAACTGAAAAAAGGAAACTTTGGGAATGTTGGGAAATTGTAATGCTCTGCTATTCTTTTATTCTTCTCTTTGATTTTCCCCCAGGTGACTGTTTAATAAAAGAAGATGCTGCCAAAACCAACTGTAAGTTAAAATGAACTCTTGTTACTGCTGTTCCAGCAAGTAAATCAGGAAGGACATTCTGTGACTTAGTATCAGCCAAATATTGTAGGTTACTATGTCTTTTGCCTCACTCATTGAAATTATGTCACTACACAATTTTTTCTTTACACTGAGGAGTTTTCACTTCTCTTGAGTCTTATTAAATTACATATTAATGATTGGCCATTTAATTGTGTGCAGTTTTGTTGAAAAATCACCGCCATGCAGGCTTTATGCAGATGACAGACCTTAGAGAGAAGCAGGAATTGCCAGAAATTAATGAAAACCAATTAATTTCACCATCAATCCTGAGCTGGTGCATCTTCATACACATCCTGAGCTGCTTACAGTTACAGAACCGCACACAAATGAGACTGCCCCACTGAAGACCTTCCAACCACACTGTCTGAAACACAGCTTTGTTTTATATTCCTCTTCAGAGGCTGATTTTGCTAAAGTGGGATGTTTAAGGTTTCTAGAAGAAGATAGCCCAGGAAAAGGACCTGGAATGAGGCTAACTTGTGGCTTTATTTATTTACTTATTTTTTAGGAACAAGGAGAGGAAAAAGCCAGACAGTAATAGTAGCTTCCAAATGATTATAATTCTGAAGCCACCAAAGACGACATTTAAAAATTAGAAAAGCGTAACTCAATCAGAGATCCTGTCAAACATTTTTTGATGAATCACTCCACGAGCATGCATCATGAAATCACAAGACCCCTAGAATCAATCCTACCCAGGAGAGGTCCCGCCATATGTAAATACTTGGGGCAATTCCCAATGGACGCCCACACATCAGGGACGTGGGGAGACTAACTTCCACATGGAATCTGCCCACAGGATTCACTAACAGCTCCTCTGACTCAGGACATGCTACTCCCTGAGGCTGAGAACCTGTCACCTGTCATACAGTCAACTCAACTAACCTCTGTCCTGTTTTATTCACCTACAGAACATGCCACAGAGAACCAGTCACATCATCTTCTCCATGGAATCAGGATCAACAATATGGAGACAACAATCCTGGTTCCCACAAAACATCATCCATCTCTCTCTCCATAATCATACTTTCTTTCCACTTTGTCTCTCCTGCTCAGCATTCATGTCCTTTTCAGTGGTATTTGATTTCTGACAGATTAAATAAATAGATTTAGTAAGTACTCTGTGCATGTGTATCTTTGCAGAAAGTCACCTAATTTAAAACTCACAAATAGCCATATTAAACATCCAGGAAAATGGGCCTTTAATAAGACAGATGTCTCACCAGAGACAAGTCTGATGAGGGTTAAACAGAGATGTCCTCAGGGTGTCCTGGTCAGAGGGAGAAAAAAGAAGTACACCATCATGGGAATGGAAGAGGACTATGTTCTCTTTATTGTAGTGGGATGGGGCACTGTGGTCAAAAAAAGAGTCCTCACAGGGCACCTCATTCATTGTGGGGAAAGAAACGTGTGTGGGACTCACTCAAATACATGCAGGTAAAGTGGGAGATGCCATATCCATCACTGAGGGGATGTGCCTTTTCCGACAGCACAGCATGCCTCAAATTCAGTAAAAGGACCAGTAATTATTACTGATGGGTCACTAGTCATCCAAGACAGGCAGCAGCTGAGACATGGTCCCTCCACAGCACCATTAAGTCAGCCGAGTCCTCATAGGAAGAAGGCGACTGAGAGCTCAGGTGGGAAGTTGTAATGTCAGACACTGAACACAGGATCTGAAGACAGGATTCTTTCCTCTATGCTTCCAAAAGCAAGAGACACAGGATTGGCAAGAAATGGGCAGAGCACATGGAGACGCTTCCCATGGTCCTCAAGGTGTTAGCAATCTAAGAGAGCCTGCACCCTAGATCTGGGGCCAAGGGACAGAGATCTGCACGAGGTCTGGAAATATAAATCTAGACCTCAGTGATACTCAACAAAATAAATGTTTCAGTTAATACATAGAGATAGTCTCCAAATGGGCTTCAGCTGGGCAAAGCCAAAGGCACTCGTAAGGAAGGTTACTATGGATTTATAGTGAAGTAATAGAGATGTGGCCGCCATATTCATATTATCCTCTCATATAAAAGGGATGTGTGGAGGCTTCTGACGCTGGTTTACAGAGTGTTTGTGGAACTGCTTGATTGGAGGATGGATATACAGATAGGTGACTGAGTACAAATGGAGGGGTGAATCTCACAATACTAACTCAGGGAATGTTGAAAGGCAGGACCTGAGAAAAAAGAGTGGAAATTTTGAAATATGAAACATTCATAAATACATACATATGTGTGAGGTGAATATTTGTGAAATCAGGACTATAAAACAAATTTGAATTTTCATCAGAAATAAAGAGAATACAAAAACAATAAGCTAAATTTTGTAGACCAAAGTAACACTTTTGATGAAAATGGGCACATTTCCTGAAAAGAATGTTACAAAAATTGACTCAAGATGAAACTGAAAATCTCTGTTATCTTACATCTATTACAGAAATTCTATCATTAGAGAAGAAGAACCTAAACTTAGAGAAACATTCCTACAGACACATAACCATGATTTCACAGTAAATTATTTCATATGCCAATCTACTCCTTAATCTTTAGATACAATTAAGTATTTTCAAGAAACTGGTATAAAGTCTACATTTTACAAAACCACACATTTTCCTTAATGCACACACTAATATATTGGAGAGCAGTCTTTCGGGAGAAGGACACACAGATCAAAAGTGAGAGGATGGAAAAAGATATTTAATGCACACAGAAATAAGAAGGCAGGAGCGGCAATTCTGATTTAAGACAAAATACCATTTTTTAAAAGGCCATAAAAAAGACAAAGAAGGAAACCATATAATGATTAAAGGACCAATGTGAGATGAGGATGTTACACCCATTAACATGTATGCACCCAATATATGAGCACCTTAACATATAAAGCAAATATTATCAGATAAAAAGGGAGAAACTGATTGGAACACAGTGTAGGAGGCCTTAACATTCCATTAAAATGTGGGACAGATCATCCAAACAGAGTATTAATAAGGCAACAGAGAAACTAAATGACACAATAAAATAATTTGAATTGATTGATAGTTTCAAAACATTACATCTTCCCCAATGTAGAATATATATTCTTTTCAAGTGCACATGGAACATTTTCAAGGATAGATCATATACTTAGCCACAAAGGAAGCCTAAACAAATTTAAAAGGATAGAAATTATTTCAAGAAACTTTTCTCACCATGATGCCATGAAATCAGAAATCAAACACAGAAGAACAAAGGAGAGGGAATGGCCAAGATGGTGGAGTAGAAGGATGCTCATAGCTCACCCTCTCCCACAAATACACCACGACTCAAATCCACAGACCCAGCCAGTCAATCAGAGCACCTGCTGAACTATGAAAGAACATCACTTTTTTCAAAAAACAAAATATGCCAGGAATCTGACAGAACAGGAAAATAAGAAGAAAAAGCAAATAAGTGCAGGATCAGTCCCATGGGGAGGGAGCAGCGAAGGAGGGATAGAGCTGGTTCGATGGCTCCCTCCTTCTCCAAAGGAGAGGCCAGTGGGATAGAGGGGGAGCCTCCAAGGCTCAGATCTGTACAGAGCACCCCCTGACTGACAGAACTAAGTTAAAAGGGCACAAAGTATCCCTGTGACACCCAGCCCGAGACAAGAGCCAGCAGCTGGGGGAAGGGAAAGGCTGCTGGAGAAGGGCAGAGGACTGGAGCAATTGCACTGAGGTAACCTCTGGGGACCTCAGGGTGCTGTGCATCATACCTGGAAGGGTATACAGACCAGAACAACCTAGGTCCTCCATAAAGTAGGAAAAAAAAAAAAAACCCAACAAGGCTGGTGTGCCCTGGGGGGAAGGGTGTCATATCCTTTGTCTCCAAAACCCACGGAACCAGTTATGGGGAGTTCTACTGAGAAGAGATGCAGGGCTCAGCCTTAGCCACCACATCCTCTGGTGCTTATTCCCAAGGCAGGGGCAGTGTCAGAACCTGAATCCATACCTAGGGGCTTAGCTGATAGGCGGGACTGAGACTTGTTTACAACCTCAGCCAGATAGGATCATTCTGTCCTGGTGCCTCAGTGAACTTGAGCCTTTAAGACAAATGAACAAGGAGCAGAGTTATGGTACAAAGCAAGGGTGAGTGCTGTTCTGCCATTCTCCTCAAGCCAGTCTGCGGAGCACGGACCTAAGGCTCAGCGGACAGCTGCACAGAGCACAGGAGTGATAAGCACCAGGAGAAGGCGTGACTCACACACCTACTATGCAGGAGAGCAGCACCTGACCTTGGTGTTGGGTGGGGGCAGGACCTGCCTGCCAACCTGCACTGGGAACAGCACAGACCAGGGGGCGAACAGACGGCCTGTGGAAACAGCGAGCTGAGTTTGTGCAGCAAAGAGAGGGCAAGAGCAGCAACAACAACAAAACACAAGGAGGCGCCATTCAGTAACAAGGGCAGGCTCTGACTGTCAGCTCAAGGGCCACACCCCTAACTAAAGCGAAGTAAGACTTGGCAACCACTCATACTCAAGAAGGACCTCTCGACAAAATCATTAACAGCACAGTCTCCGCAGGAACACACCTACTTATTTTTTTCTCCCATCAAGCTTTTTTTCTTTTTTACTTTTTAACTTCTTAAACAATTTTATAAGTCTCTATTTTTAATCTCTTTTAAAATTTTGTTTTAAAATACTTTTATTATTATGATTTGCAAATGTTACTTTTTCATTTTTAATTCTCTTGGCTTTGTTCCCCTGTTATTGATTATACTCAGTTTTCAAATTTTATTTTCCTCTTTTAAGGTTTTAAAACAGCATCTCAACTCAGTTTTTATTTTGCCTCAATTTGTTCTTCTGTTACTGATTACACTAAGATTTAAAACTTTTTTCTTTTTTCTCTTCTTTTAAATTTCCTCTTTTTAAGTTTTATTTCTAAATTCAATTCAGGTAGATAAATAAACTTCTTAAGGACCACATTAGATAACTAATACTCCATAAGCCATAGTGCTACACATAGGAGCAAAATGAAGAGGCAGAGGAACCACCCCAAATTAAAAGAAAAACACAAATCCCCTGAAAGATCAATGAAATAGACATCAATAGCCTACTAGATAAAGATTTCAGAAAAGGAGTGATCAAAGTGCTGAAGGAATTAAAAGACATCATATTTAGAGATATAAAATATGGCAAAAATGAAACTGAAGCTATAAAGAGCCAAGAAGGATGCATAAACTCATTGACTGAGATAAGGAATGATCTAAAAGCTGTGCAAAGCCAACTACATAATGCAGAGGAACGAATTAGTGACCTAGAAGACATGACAATAGAAAGCACCCAATCAGAAGAGCTACAAGACAAACAAATAAAAACAAATGAAAATAGCATATGGGACCTATGGGATAATATAAAGCAAGCCAATCTTTGCATAAGAGGGGTCCCAGAAGGGGAAGAAAGATCAAAGGGGATTGAAAAGGTTTTTGAAGAAATCATGACTGAAAACTTACCAAACTTAAAGAAGGAATCAGATATCCAAGTACAGGAAGCTAAGAGGGTCCCAAACAGGAAGAACCCAAATAGACCCACACCAAGACATATAATCAAGATGGCCAGAGTCAA